CCTCCTGGGTCACAATTCTCGCTGGCCTCAGTTTCCCAAGTAGCTTGGGGTATTATAGATGTGCACCACCACGTCTGGCTTACCTTGTATATTTTTAGTAGCGAGGACGGGAGTTTCCCCATGTTGGCCAGTCTGGGTTCTCAAACTTCGTTGGCCTCACAGTGATTCTGGCCCACCTTGGCCTCCCAAAGGTTGCTAGGATTACAGATGAGTCCACCTCATTCCTTGGCCCAACTCTCTAGGCTTGTTCACTCTGGGAAGGCCTTTCTACTTTGTGTGAGTCCCTTCTTTTCAATTTTTTTTTATGGCCATAATAATCATATATATTTATGGGTGTGCATGTGATATTTGGATACAGGGTGTATACAAAGTGTACTGATCAACAAAGGGAGCGCGTATTTTAAGATATCCAGTAATTCAAACATTTATCATTCTGTTGGTGAGGGGCACCTTCAATGTTTCTAGGCATTTTGAAGCATAACAAATTATTGAACGAATAATAGTAACCCGGTATGTGTGCTACCAGACCACTTTTGTTGAGTGGGTAAATCACACATTGTGGAAAAGTACTTTAGAGATTATTTAAGATCAAACCTTTTTAATACAAAAACAAAATCCCACCTTACTTTCACCCCTTCCTGAAGCATTTCAATAATTTGTGCATTTCTTGGCCTTTACTTCCTTAACTTTGGCTCTAATAGTCAAAGAAAAAAGATTAGTTTTTTTTTTAAGTAAGTGATATAATAATTACTTACTGCTCACTTTACAGAGCTCTGAATTCGTAGGGCTTGCTCCAAAGGATATAATTATTTTTGACAACAAACAGGATGGGAGGAAATGTATTTGGAACTATCTACAATTTAAATTAATCCCTGGCCACAATTAATCCCTGGCCACATTAATATATATCAATATTGTATGTGATTTGAAAATTAGAAGCGAAGGAAGGAGAAAAGGGAGAAAAACTCAATTTTCCTAAAGAATCTTCTTTGTCTTCCTCAGATAAAACCGCTTATACAATTCAAAATATTTAAATGAAAACCAAAAGGAAAATGAGCACAGTTACTAATGCGAGTACTGTCCGGCAGATACACTAGGACTTTCTACATCTGTCGTGATTTGGCGGCTGGTCCAATATGCGGACTACTGAAGAGAACATGAGAAATGTGCTGGTGTGACTGAGAAATTAATTTTTAAACTTTGTAAATTTAAATGCAATGACTTGTAGTGGATACTGAATTTTATAGGGCAGTTCTATACCTTCTCAGTTTGAGTGAGCTTCACTTAATCATTTGTTACTTCACTGGACTATAAACAATCCACTGTTACAAACTTTTTTGGTTGGGCATGATGTAGTATCTTTCCAAGATATCTGTTCAACTCTTTTTTCAATTTCTTATTCCAGATGGCTTCTTCTCCAGTTACGTGGATGGATACAAGGTATACATTATGAACAAGAAGGATTGTGTTCCCACATTCGCAATCCATTAATTGGCCCAAAAAATTTATCCCCCATGTCACCTCTCCTATTCTACACTCTTATAAGCCTCTCTGTATCACTTATTATTATCCTTTTTTTTTTTTGAGTGGGAGTCTGCTTGCCCCCACGGATGG